GAGCGGCTTAGGGAAGTTTAGGGTTTAGGGTTTTAGGGTTTAGCGGCCTAGGGAAAGTTTAAGGTTTAGGGTTTAGGGTTTAGGAGTTTAGGGCTTAGGGTTTAGGGTTTAGGGAAAGTTTAGGGTTTAGGGAAAGTTTAGGGGTTAGGGTTTAGGGAAAGTTTAGGGTTTAGGGTTTAGGGAAAGTTTAGGGTTTAGGGCTTAGGGAAAGTTTAGGGGTTAGGGTTTAGGGAAAGTTTAGGGGTTAGGGTTTAGGGAAAGTTTAGGGTTTAGGGTTTAGGGAAAGTTTAGGGTTTAGGGTTTAGGGAAGTGTAGGGGTTTGGGTTTAGGGTCAATCCTAAAACTGTACAGAAACCGGAAGCCCCTGAAAGCCCTAGAGGTGTCCTTCAGCTGCGCCTGACGCTCTTGCTCTGCCTCCTGGATGGTGCTCTCCTTGCCGAGGTAGGGCTTAAGATTCGCGGGTTTTTTGGAATGTGATATGGGTAGTTCTCTAAACTAGGGTTCCTTTTTAGGTCCCCAATATAGTACGGCACCGTTATACAAAGGACCCTAAAAGGGACCCTATTTAGAGAACTACCCATATAGAAAAGAGAAAGCAAAGCCTTGCAAATTATTACGCCCACTATATGGGGGTTTCCGAAAATAGGGGACCCTAATATAGCACCCTAAATAATAGGATCCCTATTATGAGGACCCCAAAATAAGGTACCTAATTTTCTGAAACTCCCATATGAAGGCTCTGGGGACCTCACCTGGGGGCTCGGCAAACTAAAAAGTCCGCTAGTTCTTCCTGACGGTTTAAGGTTTAGGGTTTAGGGTTTAGGGTTTAGGGTTTAGGGTTTAGGGTTTCTTGATGGTTCTTTCTAGCTTGCATGACAGTTTATCACAATTATATCTGCGTGTATCCCGAAACAAACTCATGTTACGGTCACTAGAATTGTGAGATCCGGTTCTTGGTCGACTTTGGTGTGATCTTTGCATGTGTCTTTCTGCTGCTTGGGCGGCCATGTGGGGAGTTCTCCAACTTAGGGTCCCTTTTGGGGTCCCTTTCATAAGGGTGCCGTACTATTTTGGGACCTACACAAGCTAGTTTAGAGAACTGCCCATATGGATTCTAAGTGCTAGTGGTTGAAAGGGTTTAGGGCGTTTAGGGTTTAGGGTTCAAGTCTGTGAACACGTTTCTTACGCCCTCCACCCTCAAACCCTAAACCTCAAACTTGTTCTCAAGGACCATAGCTTGGCATTTTTTTTCAACACGGAGAAAGGTTGTACCTCTAATTTTGTGTGGGGATAGAAATCCCAAAACAGGAGACCCCGAAGAAAAACCCTCAGAGACCCGGATTTCTTTTTCAGGCCCGGCAAGCTGTGGAAGCCTACGCCGTTGCCAGGATATGCGGCTGCTGAAAAGTTGGGGTCGCTTGCAGGGTGCCGTTTAAATCCTAAACCCTAACCCTACTACATCAACCCTAAACCAGAAACTCCTAAACCCCAGACCCTTCACCCTAGACCCTCTCAAGCCTAAACCCTAAACGTGAGCAACAAGAACCTTAGAACAAAGTAACACCACCAAAAAGCCCTCAAGCTTAATGCCACTATGCTTTAGGTGCACCGGTTTCCTGCAGCCTCTGATGGAAGAGGCCCTCAACGCTATCACCACCCCGAAACCGGCAAACCTGAAACCGTCAGCTCAAAAACCTCAAAACCCTGAAGCCTAAATTGGAATCCGAAACCCCTAAACCCTAAACCCTAGACCCTAGACCCTAAACCCTAGACCCTAGACCCTAAACCCTAGACCCTAAACCCTAAACCCTAAACCCTAAAGGCCCAAGCTGGGGACCTAAAGTTCCTCAAGCTTACAACCTGCACCTCACCACCCTAAAGGAACGAACTCGCATTCAAGTCCGGTCGCCAGCTTCTTGAGCTGCGATCGCCTTTAGGGTTTAGGGTTTAGGGCTTGGGCTTCTTGAGCTGCGATCGCCTTTGGTAAAACTCAGGGGGGTAAGGGCCGTAAGAAAAAGAGGAGGGCTTTGAGGTATACTGTGCTACTGTACTATGACTAACTTATCACAGGGACTAATGGCTGATGCTTCAGGCCCGCCACTGACTCTACTGCTTCCAAGTCTGGGCGTGCAAGCTTCAGTGCTCCCAGGTTGGGACTTGATTCTCTCGGGGCTTATCGCCGATGGCTTGAGGCGAACGCTTCCTATTCGAGATCGGGGCTGCGGCCTGTGGATTAAAGCATAGTTTTGGTGTACCATAAGGGCTCCTTGACGCAATCTGTCAGGGTTCCTGAGTTGGGCTATTGTAGGGAGCTTCCTCCTTCGAATAGTGGGTTTTGGGGTATATTGTACTATGACTATAATGAGACACCTTTTGGGTTCAGGGTTTAGGGTTTAGGGAGGGAAAACCCTAATATTATGCTCATGGTATGTTCCAGATTTTCCTAACTCAAGGCGTCTTGGGCTCTCCGACGTTTTCCATGTGAGCCTACCCTAAACCCTAAACTCTGAACCCTAAACCGTCATGTGAGCGCTTGCTCCCCCAAAGTGTGCGAACACGACCGCGCAAGCTTGGCATCGAGGGTTTAGGGCTTCGGGGTGCTGAAGAGCTGATCCGAAACCGAGCCCAATAACCCTTAACTAAGGAATCTACCTTAAATCATATTCTATTAAGGCCCTATAGTTGAAGGTAGATTCCTTAATTGCGGGGTATTGGGCTCTCCGGGCCTGATCATCCCTGAAATCGAAACTCTGAAAACTCAGAGACATGTGAACGGCAGTCCAGGAACCCAGAGACTCCAAAACCCCTTAATTAAGGAATATACCTTGAATCATTAAGTCATATTGGGGATCCCACTATAATTTAAGGTATATTCCTTAATTAAGGGGTTTTGGAGTCTCTGGGAACCCTCGCAAAGGCAGAGACTCTAGGCTCTCCGTAGCAGAAGTCTCATTATAAGGACCTAGACGGAGGCTCCAAAAGAGACGGCTATACATCCGTCGCAATCTCGTACGAAAGCTAGGCTGGTTGATGACGGTTATGATTGCTCATGGGCTATGTTTGTTTTTTAGCCAGAACCACTTACTTTCTATAAACAAACGGTTGTTATTGATGTGTGCCATTCATAGACCTTCTAATGTAGGGGCCTAAACAATTACCTATAGTATTTTTTGGGGTGGTTCTTGTTATGATCATGGTATAACATACCCAAAAACCCGATTGCGCTGATGCTGGAGCTCTTCAACCTGTCTCAGCATCTGCGCTGCCACCAGCTCGGCTTCCTTTCGCAGCCTTTCCTCGTTGCTTCCAAACTGCTGCCACCTGGCGCCCAGCTCCACCCATTCAGCCGACTGAGCTTTGTAAGCCACCTCCAGCTGCGACGCTTTCGCTGCCATTTTCGACGCTTTCGCCTGCGAGGCTTGCAGCTCAGCACGCATGTCCTCGAGCTTTGCGACAGCTTTAGCTTCGCGGCCCCACGCTCTTTTGGCAAAGCGCTGGAACGTCGACTCCTCATTGTGCACCCGGTGTCCAGTCCGGGTTATTGTCTTGCTCAGCCTCTTCTCCCGCCACGTCATCTTCGCCGCCGCCTGAGCCTTGGCCAGGAAAGGACGCTTCGGCGGCATTGGCCCTGGCGTGCTGCTGATTATTAAGGCCCCTACAGTACCCCAAGGCCCTGAACCCTGAACCCAACGCTCGCATTCCCTACACCCCCAAACCCAAACCCTCAACCCTGAGCCCTCAACCCAAAACCCTCAACCCTGAGCCCTAAACCCAAAACCCTAAACCCTGAACCCAAAACCCGAAATCCAAAACCCGACACCCAAACCCAAAACCCGAAACCCAAAACCCAAAAACCCGAAAACCTGGACCCTAAACCCAAAACCCGAAAACCCGAAACCCGAAACCCGAAACCCTGGACCCTAAACTCAAAACCCGAAGCCCTAAACCCAAAACCCTAATCCCCAAACCCAAAACCCGAAACCCTGGACCCCAAACTCTTGAGCTTTCCAAGGTCCCCGGCTGGGTCTCCACGATGTTGGTGAGGGACTTGAGCCTCTCAAGGCTCGGAGTGTGAAGGCCGCAACTTAGAATAGGGTTTAGGGTTTAG